ATTAAATAGATGTCAACTAAGCTAAGAAACTAGACTTTAATGGCTTAAACTAAAAAAAAAATTACAAGCCTATAGATGATGTTAAAAACCAAACCAAACAAGCAGAAAACCTTGCCAAACAAATAAGCAGCATCTGTATCAGCTATGATGATGATGAATCTTGCACAGAAACCAGAGTTTGAACTCCTGATTTGCTACATTAAAAATGTCTGTCTTTCATCAGAAGTATTACATTTGCAAAATACTGAAAGTATAATCCAGTTCCAGGAAAAGCACGTTTATTAGAACTGTATCTGAGAAAGCCTGACATTAAACTTATTGGTAAAGATCTTCAACTGTATTATATGTAATTAAAGCATTAATGGAAATAATGTCTAGAGAAGTAAAATATAGTAATAATTTTCCCTTAGATAATATCAAGAAGCAGATGAAGGTTATAAGAAAAATAACAATTAGAATGTCTGTAGTTCAAAGTAACACAAGTAGATTTAAAAAGCTCTGGAGTGGCTCACCAGTAGATTCAGTTTTAAAAGTCAGTGAACTCACACATATACCTGATTTGTGAGGCTGAGCAATAATAGAAAAGATTGCAGAAGTATAACCATAGCATAAGAAATAGACTGTGCATTGTCAACCATAACAATGTACATACAATTAGGATCACATTAAGAGAGGAAAAAGGAGGGTTAAAACAAAAGCATTGAAGAAAGAATTGTCAAAAACTGTAAATTATATTAAAAAACTATGAAACCATAAACTAGTACAGATATCAATAGCTGAAAGCAAAATTTAACTCAAAATGAAACTTAGATACATGAACAGACTGTGTGAAGCCGAAGACACATATATCATTATGAACTCACCAAGAATTTTAGGCAAAAATAATGCTTCATGTAAAAGAGAGCCATATTATAGTGAATAGGGCCTTAACGGATGGTTTCAATGGCTAAGAGCACTGGCTGTTCTTGGAGAAGACCCAGGTTCGGTTCCCAGCACCCACAACGTGGCTAACAACCATCCATAACTCCAGTTCCAGGGTATCCAACACCCTCTTATGACCTCCACAGGCAAGATACAGGTGCACTTATACACAATAGGCAATACATTCACACACATAAAATTAAAACAATAAATTTTTTTAATTAATAAAATATCTTGAGGAACACTGGTGGCCAGCAGATAGTGAGAAATCATATTTAATGTGTCAAAAGACTGTCACCCAAGAATTCTAACCCATCAAAAGTAAAGTTAAGAAATTTAAATAAAAATCAAGTAGCATTCTTATAATAATGACAAAAATGTAGTACTTAAAATTTAAAATAAATGGACTTACAATGTTCCACATTTATTCTAATCATCTCCTTAACCTGGTAGAAAAATCTGAGTAAGTTTTGTCATGAGCAGAACTGTTGAAAATTATCTCCAAGCTGAAATGGAAAGATGGTAGATAATAATGCAGATCCACAGGAAGAAATAAAAAGCAACAATAAAGATACCAGAGTGAGCGTAAAAGACAATTTATATACATATATGTGTGTGTATTGTGTGCCTGTGTTTCTTAATTTTTAGCATCTCTAGTTATCTGACTTTGAAGTGAACTATGCACTGCAGTAGCTGCATATTTACATGTAACAGGCATAAAGTGTAAAGATATCATTTGTGATATGATATAAGGAGATGGAATGGAGTCGTATTAAGCAAAAATATATACTGTTGATATTAAGTTGATATTAATCTAAATTATATTATTATAAATTTTAATGCTAAGACAATCACTAAAATATTTTCAAAGTAGTATTCTCTCTACTCCCTCTTCCTTGTGTCCCATGAGCCTTAGGTGTAGAGGTTCCACTACAGATGTGTTCATTTAGGGCTAGGTGTCTCATAGATTTTCTGTGTGTATGTGTCTAGTTTGGAACTCTGTAATAGCCTTCATCTGTTTCAAAACGAAGCTTTGTTGATGAATGGTGTATTGTATACTTGTCTATAAATATAAATATATATTTAGCATATAGTAAGGAATTTCATTTATCTAGAGATATGACAAAGGCAGGGTTTTCTCTGGAATCTATGGATAGCAGGCACCAACACTTAGCCTAGGAACTGTGGGCAACTTATTACTGCTGGGTGAGGGAGAGTAGATCTTCTTTAAGGTAGAAACTATAGAAAGGCTGACTAGAATCCAGTGGACTGTACCAAAGGTCATCTGGGTACAAATGCTTGATCAGAAAGGACTTAGCATATATGAAAGAATGCATGAAATATGGTGGGAGGGGGACTGATGAGAGAATAGTCAAATAGGGGAAGGGATCTAAATTTGATTAAGATCTGCTATATAAAATGCACTGGAACACATATACTTTGTCATCTGTGTTAAGACCCATCATGTTAAGTCTGTGTGCCCAGACAATCCCCGATGCAAGTCCATCCACTGAAGCCTAGTCAGCCTATCTAGAGTCCCTTAATTTAGGAAGATCAGTTCTTCTTCACCTACCAGTAATCAGTTGATAATATTTCTTCAGCTAAGATTGGGGTATGCCACAGTTCTATGCCAGGTTTTGGTCTGCCTGAGTTTACATGGGACTTATCTATGCTAACACCTTTGTCATAGACTTATATAAGCATGGTCCCAGGAGCTTGTAGGACTCTGCTTTCATATGGTCATGCACCTCCTCTCTGGTTCTTACAGTCTTTCTATCCACTCTTCTGCAATGGTCCCTGAGCTCTAGAGTCTGGAGACTCTTAATCTCTACATTTTGGCCATTTGTGGCCTTTGTCAGACTATGATTTTGTAAACAGGAAATTATAGAACAATAAAAGGCAAGCAAAGTGAAAGAAAATAAGTAAAATTTGATTTGTGTATAATGCGATTTATATATAAATAATATATGTAATAAACAACATAAAAAATAAGAGCTATTAATTTGTCAGATTTGTAGGATGCAAAATAAGCATACACACTCCGTTATACAACCAATGAGCAATTTCAACCAGAAGCTCAGAAGCAATTTCATTTTCAGTAGTATACAATTAAAAGAAATACCTGTCAATAAATCAGTGATGTATACATTGAATCCCTGAATGCTGTCCAATGAATGAGGCTCTGAATCAAAGGCCTCTTAGCAACTGATGGAGTCTGTGGAGAGGCAAACAGTCTCTTCAGCGAACCTACCATGCTCCAGTAGATAGTCAGAACCATGGTCAGAAGAAGGTAGATTGAAGCCAGCCTGGTCTACATAGTTCCAGGCCAGCTGGGGCTACAAGGATGCCCTGTCTCAAAAATCGAAACCAAACCAAAATATGAGTGTACATTTCTTTACCTCTGTTTTTGGTACTGTGATCAAACATATGGCCCTGCAACAACCTCAACCCATTTACTTTCTTTTGCTCTCATGAAACTCCTGTGTCTGCAATAAACCTTTTTTACCTTGAGTTGATTGTAGCTTTGTGAATGCAGATACTGTGGCACATATCCCAACTTACTATCTTCTTTTTTTCTTTTTAATATGAGATCCTTGACCATTAACAGAAGCATTGCACAAGAAAAGTAGCTATTTTTTAAGACAAAATATAAAACATAGTCTTTAAAAATGGAGGTGTCTCAATCAATCTTAATCATCTTATATTCCTTTCCCCACTGACACTTGCCCATAGTCCCCTCCACTGGAATGCATACATTCTGTCACTTGTGTTAAGAGCTATGGTATCAAGTTAGTTTTCCCAGACATTCCTCAGTGCAAGTTCACCTACTGAGGTATAGTCAGCCTATCCAGAGTCCTTCATTTTAAGATCAGTTCTTCCTCATCCAGCAGTAATCAGCTGCCAATATTTCTTCAGCTAAGTTTAGGATCTGTTGCCCATTTCCCCAGTTATATGCTGGGTTTTTGTCTGCTTGAGTTTGCATGGGTCCTGTACATTCTGACACCATTGATGTAGGTACATATGAGCAAAGTCCCAGGAGCTTGTAGGACTCTATTTCCATATTGTCATGCACCTTCTTCCTGGCTCTTAAATCCCTGAGCTCCAGGTGGATGAATCAATATAGGAGTTGTGTCCAAGGACCAACATCTGAAGTATTCTTATCTCTATGCTTTGGCCTTTTGTGTCCTTTGTGCCTCTGTCACATGAGAGAGATTCATTAATGAGAACTGAGATATTCATTAGTGTCCTACAGATGTAGAGGTTGCATTGTAGATGTACCAATTAGGCTTGGGCCATTTACAGACAATGTCTGTGTGTGACCAGTTGTGCTACTCTGTAATAGACTCTGTCTGGTCCAAATGAAGCTTCATTGATGATTGGTTAGTAGAATATTTTTCTGTAAATATAAAGATATATATTTTACACAGTGTAAGAATTTAATACACAATAATTCAATAAAAAGTTTTTTAAATGGATATCTATTTCACAAAGTTTTGTTTTTAATCATTTGTTTTATTTCTAACAGTCTAAGTAATATGAAAGAGGTTATATCTCCTCAAATCTTAGCAACCCAAGTTAATTTCATAGTTACACAGTAATACTTGAATGAAGAACTTCTTAATCATGGTCCTGTTATAATCATTGGTGTGGATGGTTGATCTATTGCTTTAGCATGATTCAACTAAATGGAACAAATCAATATTATTATGACATACTGTGGACAAGGTTTTTAAAATGAATGTTGATGAGCAATTGATCACTTTAAAGTACCTGCATTTCATCATATTTAAACCCATTTCAATACTACTGCTCTCTATAATTTCATCTGTACTTAAAAATAGAAAAAGAGATAATAGATAAGAAAAAATAAACATGGAGACATTTTCAGAGCCAGTTCTATGTCACTATTCAAGAAATATGATGACTAAGATAATTATCTGTGCACTGTTTCCTGACTTTTTCTCGTTGATAGAAATGGCAGTGAAAAAACCTTCAAGCAAAAGAAGAAAGAAAAGAATAACTTTCCATATTGTCCTCCTAGCACTGATTTTTGCTCATTCCTGTCTTTTCTTTTACAGGAGTAACAACTGTTCTAACAATGACAACACTAAGCATCAGTGCTCGCAATTCTCTTCCCAAAGTGGCCTATGCAACTGCCATGGATTGGTTTATTGCTGTTTGCTATGCATTTGTGTTCTCTGCCCTAATTGAATTTGCAACTGTTAATTACTTCACCAAAAGAGGATGGGCTTGGGATGGGAAGAGTGTAGTAAATGACAAGGTAAGTGGGAACTCCATTCTCTGAATTCCCGAACACATTTAGCTTGTAGCGGAATTGTTCCTAAAATTTGGCATTAAGACAATACACATGAAGTTGAGTGAATATTATTCAATTTTCTTTTCTTTTTTTTCTTTCTTTTTTTCATAATAAAAGCATGCTCTTGCCTGAAATCCTTTAGGAGTGCTCTTAGTAGTGATCTTCTTAAAACTGTTACTAAACACCTATAGAGTTCTATATGTAGGGCATTGTGCTAGAGATTTACACATGCCCTCTTTCAGTCTTTGCAGTAAGTAGGGTCTCAACTCACCTTTCTCAGGAGAAGCTTTTCAGGCTTAGAAAAGCCATTCACATGCACTAGCTCATAGAACTGAGTAGGAAGTGTACTGGAACCCAGGCCTGTCCACCTCTTGAATCCACATCCTTAAAACCACCAACACTACATTGTGATAGAGCTTGTGAGAAGAATGGGCATCAACTCCACCTATTGGAGAATTCCTAGCTTCACCAATGTAAAGTACACGTCCCCCATCCATAGCTCTATTGCCAGTGTGTAAAACTGCATTTTTGCCTTCCCCATGTTGCATTTAATAAATACTTAGATGTTGGAACACCTGGGAATTTAAAATTGTTCATGTGATACAAATGGGAAAACTTATTTCCTTTTAATACTAACTTATTTTAAGATTATTGATACATATTTTTATGTTTTGAGTACTGAAGCTAGTGGGTTGTTTGGACATTGATACAGCAGTTGATTCCTTTCTAATTTCATAAATTAACAGTTGCCTTAAAATCAGGCTTTGGATATACTATAATTTTATATACTACAAAATAATTTTAGAAGTGGTAGAATCTTCTATTTTGCAGGCTTCTTTGAACACTATATTATTTGAATGCTTTTTCCATTAAATTTTGAAGAACACCTTTACTGTGGTTTGATTTTGTTTAGCTATTTGAACATATATGTCTATTTATAAATTTAATTTCTATGCAATGTTGC